TTGTTATTTAATCTGAAAGAATATGGATCATTTAAGAAGCCTGCATTATCCCGACAAAAACCTTCCAATGAAGAAAACCAATACATGGTTCTACAATCTGTTATCGAAAATCCACAAACTTCTACCAGAGAAATTGAAGACCAGAATGGGGTAGCTAAATCTACAGCTCAGTTTATTTTAAGGAAAAATGAATTTAAGCCTTACAAATTCAGAATATGTCAAGGATTAAAACCGGGTGACGACGAACGACGTAGACATTTTTGTGAGTGGTATACCAGGATGTGTGATGAGAGTTTTAATTTTCCATATAAAGTGATTTGGTCTGATGAAAGTATGGTGACCAATAACGGTATTTATAACAGGCGCAATACACACTATTGGTCGCAACAAAATCCACGTGCCAGACATCAAGTTCGCTTTGGGTTTAATATTTGGTGTGGGATTTTTGGTAGCAAGATTATAGGCCCTATTTTCTATAATAATTCCTTAACTTCCGAGCGGTACCTTGACATCTTGAGGCACGATTTAGAAGATGCCTTAGATGATTTACCGCTAGGCGCTGTGCAAGGCTGCTGGTTCCAACAAGATGGTGCCCCAGCCCATAACTCCAGAGAAGTTCGTCAATATTTAACTGAACGGTTTGATGGAAAATACATTGGGACTTACAGTGAAACACCTTGGCCTCCAAGATCCCCGGACTTAACTCCCTTGGACTTTTTCTTATGGGGCTACATAAAAAATGAGGTATTCAAAGAATGTTTTGACAACGAGGAACAATTACGTCAATCAGTACGAGCAGCGTTTAATAAAATTACTCCTGAAATGTTAAGTCGTGTTTTGGAGTCTACCGTGAGACGGGCGTACTTATGCCTAGAAAATGGAGGTCATTTATTCGAACATTTGTTATAGAATTTGTTTTTCATTAACTTGTTGGATTTAGTTGTTATGTTAAATGAACAGTTAGAGTTAGTAAATAAATAAACACATTAACTCGAACTTGTCAACCATTTTCTTTTGCCTTTCATCGTTCGGATCTCATGGCCTACTACAATAAAATACTAGAAATGTATTAAAAAGCCATTTTTCTGGATAAAAACATAAGTAACCGTATTGTATCGTACATCGTTGGATTCGCAATGAAAAGCACAACCTAATACTGTGTGTACTTTTTTTCCGTCCCATAAGAAAAATCAAAGTTGATGGTGGTTCCATGGAATCGAAACGCTGTAATGAAAATTTGTTAACGTCAATTTGGAGAGATTAAAAAGTGCCAATGGAAAAGTGTTTTCCGTTTTTTCATATCTTTTCAAATAGCTTTAAAAAATAATAAAAACGAAATCGCAATATTTCGGTTTTTCTCGGATATTTCCGGAACGGCTTGGAATGTTCAAATTTGTAAAACGGGATCTTGTTCGGTATTAAAATGCGCAACTTTTGTCTAATTTAACCGACACTGTATCTCTTATAGTTTCCGAGATCCCCATGCTGTGCATCCTTATCTTGGACACACTGTATATATATATATATATATATATATAAAAGATGACACTATATTCCGGGATATCATCCGTTCGCTTGTTGAACTGGAATCCTGCAGACGTTTCGCCAAAATCTCACTTGGCATCTTGGCATATATATATATATATATATATATATATATATATATATATATATATATATATATATATATATATATATATATATATATATATATATATATATATGTATATATATATATATATATATATATATATATATATATATATATATATATATATATATATATATATATATATATATATGTATATATATATATATATGTATATATATATATATGTATATATATATATATATATATATATATATATATATATATATATATATATATATATATATATATATATATATATATATATATATATATATATATATATATATATATATATATATATATATATATATATATATATATATATATATATATATATATATATATATATATATATATATATATATATATATATATATATATATATATATATATATATATATATATATATATATATATATATATATATATATATATATATATATATATATATATATATATATATATATATATATATATATATATGTTGGGTTACTATTTGACAGCCTTCTTTAATTATTAGCATAAATTATAAAAAAAAGTAATACCTACGTGGCAAAAAATATTTGCAGTTAAAGTATCTTACATACAAATTAAAATGACTAGTAAAATTACACTAATTTCACCTGAATTAGGCGTGCAATTTATTATAATTTTATTATTATAATATAATAATTATAAATTTCGCACTTATTTGACAATTCACTCAAAGTTAATGTCTTTCTCGACAACACTATACGGTTAAATGATAATTTGAGAATTTGTTTTCCAAGTTTCTAGTAGATGTCAATTTTTATAAAAACCAATTAAAAAAATTAAGAAAAGAAATTTATTGTTCATTTCAACTATATGTATTTCTTTGTGTGTAATTTTCGCTTGAAGTCGCTGTTTATGTAGAAACGATTTAAAATGTTATTGTTCATTACGAAAAATTTAAATTAAAAATTACTATTGTAACCCATACCATCGGGGTAATATTATGATAAACAGGTAAAAAACGAAACGTTTTTATAATAATGACTGTGTAAATATTTAGATGTATTCCTGGAGCGGTGGTTTGGTTTAAAAAAAAATTCGGTTTTAATAAATTTTGTGTGGTGAATTTAGTATCCTTTAAAACACACTTTTTACAAATTTTAGTAGTGTTATTATATCTACTTTTAGAATATGATTAAAGGAAATGTTTGTAAAATATAAAATAATTTTTATCAAAAAAAATCTCCTCAAATCGTTTTAGTATAATTTCAAATTTTTAAAATTTTTCCATAACAGGGTACATTGTATATTGATGTTTGAGCCGCCGATACTAAAGTCACATATAAAATAAGAAAAATTCTAATTAAAAAATGTATAAAAAAGGGTGTTGCAGTTTCAAGTCAAACCCGAGGTACACAAATATGGCATTGTGGCTTGAAGCTATGCCAGGTACAAAAAAAAACGCTTAATAAACTTCAAATACTTATCAAAATTATTTAGATAAGTTTTTATTACGTGCTCTATTTGTTTAACAAAAGAATCAAAAGTTTTTCGCTTTTGACTGAAAACAAATTGAAATATGAAAAAATTTCATGATTATGATTTTTCAGATTGTGAAACCTGTACGTCACATCGGAGGTATAAGATAGAAGATTGAATAGAACATAGAATAGAATAAATCGTTTTGTTCATAGGGGCCAATACAATGAAAGTTTCGACATAATATAATAAATTAACACGATTAGGTAAAATAACCTTATAACTAATATAATATAGGTATAATTATAAGTATATATAACAATCAACTGAACGACATTTATTTTGCAAACACTAATTATACACAGATTAATTTAAACAACATGGACACAATAAATTTAAATTTTTAAGTCAATATGATTTCATAATTGCTTCGCATTCATCTGAAATGTAGAAAGCATTGGAATATAGAAGTCTCTCGAGGAAGTTTGTATATATTTTTTCCTGAAAGCTTTTTTTCATTTGAAGGGAGAAAATTAAAAAGTGTGATTGAAGCTTTACAAGATGTTGTCTATTGCCTCTATAATAACGATGAATATCGGTATGTTTTTTGTGAATCTTTACTTTGATACGTGACGAAAATGGTATTAAATACGTATATGCAGGACACTGTTAACATTTTATATCTTTTATCTATATCTATCGGCATGATTTGAAAAATCACCTTATGTAACTGTTTCCTTTTTGCTGTATAAATACTACTAGCTTCAATAAATCGTGCTCAGTTTAAAATATTGTGGGTAAATGGAAGGGAATGACGAGGTGTAATAAAAACATTCAGTGATATTTAAGATGTAAGCATCCGGTCGTCCAGCATGTTTCTTTAAGTGTTTCTCTCTTCCGCTTGTAATTACAAGGTATCCAATACATAATTATCTGATTCTATCATATATCATCTTTTGTTTTGTCTGCTATTTTGATGTCCAGCATGCCTCTTTGTATCTTCGCAATTTTTTTCATATTTTCTTTTATAAATGTCTAGGTTTGAGCTCCATAAGTGAGGACAGGGAGTTTACACTGGTCGAATACTTTAGTTTTTAATTATTAATTAAACCTTATCCTTCTCTTTATTCCTATATTCTGATTTTCTTTATTTTATTTGATGGTTTGTCCCAAGAATATATTCATTTTCTTGTTCTATTTTTAGGCTGCTCTAATTATTATTCCTTCTTACTAGTTGGTCATTGGTCAAACCAAACCATTGCAAAAAAATACTCTATCCAATTTACTACATACGCTGTCTAACCCTTAAAGGGGAATCATTATTGGCCTGTAAAATAAAACCACAAGACCTTTTTTTTAAATTTATGGTTAAGTGATTTTGTTTACAAATACTAATAAATTGTCCAATATTAAGAGAAACAGTATTTATTACTTCTTGTGCTTTAGTTTCAGAGACAAAGGCAAAATATATCATGAAAATAGATGCGACTAGCGTTCTCTATGCCCGAGCAACTTTAAGAATGTTGGAAAAACTATGTCGGAGCTACCTAGTACCTTCGATCGCCCATCAAAACTGGTTTCAAACACCCTTGACATTTTTTGCACCTATCGGAGCTGTCTTAGTAACGTCTCCTCGCGCAAGTATCGAGATATCCTTGCTGCTCGCCACGATCCTGTCGAAACTGACAATTAAGTAACGACGACAAAAATTCGCTGACCAATCGCCGTCCAAAGGCGGACTTAGCGTTATTTCGACGGATCCGATTGGCGCCTCCACTCGTTTACGCACTTAACTTATTTTTGTCTCGTCTCGCTCTTTCTCGTTCGACCATACCCAAGAACGTGGAGTACCCCGAAGTGATTGTCAAAGCGTTCTTTCATTCCGACCCGAATCGTAGACGGCGTCGGTGTGCGCGTTGCCAAGCAACAATCTGTCAATTGTTCTTTGCACAACAGGTGATTTTGTTTTCATTCATAAACGCCACAATATAGGCGAAGATTCGACAAAATGATGTCGCGTACGGTAAACGTGGCCGTAGCTCAGGTCGCGTCTTCCAGCGGCGTCTCGGACGTCGTTTCGCAGGAGCAACCGGTGAAACCGACGGTGGCCGTCGCGTCGACCAAGGGTGCGACGACGCCGGGTGCTCAACAGTGCCAACAGTTGGACAAAAGTGAAATCAATAACGCGGTGACTAAAGTTTTGCAGGGCTACGACTGGACCTTGGTGCCTATTGCTTCCAAGTGAGTACCTGTTGTTTGGTTCTCATGGTTGCGCTAGACATAAAGCGTGTCTCTGCATAACAAACTTCAGGGGACGATTTTTAGTTGATTATAATCCTAAAACACAAACAAACAAAAAACATTTTTGACTTTTAGATCTTTTTAGATCTTTTTTTACTAGTTAGTTTTGGTTGGTTTAGTTAGTTTAATCGTTTTCACCTGAGTGAGACTAACTTACACGGTTATTTATGATTATTTTGACACCCTGAAAAAGTTTCATGCCCAAATAACTCAGGTTTCGAAATGGTAGTTTTGTTAATTATATTAGATGCAAAACTGCATTCTGGGGGCAAATTTTCATAATTTCATTTTACTTCTCGAGGCGCCGTATGATTTTTTTTCGGAATCAAACGGTCTCAACATTTTATAAAAACTAATGGTTAGGTTATAAAAATTTACAAGTGAACGCCCTGTATGAAAATAACATTTCTAATTGATTGTAACAATACACAGCTGGATAAACAAAATATTTAAAATATGATCAATTTAATATTTACACGCAATTAACTACATAGTAAAGATGAATAATTTGACAAACTTAACTTGATAATTATTCAATATTTTAACCTTAATTTTAAATTTAAATTTTTATTCTAGTTTCATCTAACATCTACTTAGTAGATTAAGTAACAAATAACTTATTGCTTTTCAATTGAATTTCAATAAGATGTCAAAAAATTATTGAGCTTTACTGTATTTCAAGATTGGATGAATGGAATTATTTAAAGAAAAAGCATTTTTGAAAATCCTTAATTTAATTTTTTCCTTTTGCATGCCAAAATTACTCAACAAGCAGAAGTGGAAATGTATTAATACGAAAATAACAAATACTTCACCGTTGTGAAATGTTTTCTTTTATCGTAAGGACATCCTAAAAATTGTCAATCAGTGTATGATCTCAATATTACTGAATGAGACAGACCTTCAGCTATTTTGAAAACAAGCAAAATGAATAAACAAGTTGTTTTTGGCGTTTTTCAAAGGAAAAGGAAACCTCTTAAAGCACGCACTTTGCTTCCCTAACCACATCATCTTTTGGCCGACACGAGATTAATTGAAGCCCTATCCGGAAGAAGAGCCCAATTGTTGGTAACTTTAAACCCTTTCTCAGTGTATTTGTCGGAAGAATTATTGTCATATGAGACATGGAAATTCAACAATAAAACAAAGCTTAATGTCTAATATCCACGAAATAATCCAAAAGTGAGGATTCCCACACCTTGGATGCGATAAACCAAACAAATGGTAACAATCCGGGGCAAACAAGTAAAATTGCAACCCCTCTAATTTCGGTGACATTTATCTAAAACGAGCCAGGTAGTATTTTCTATTTGGAAAGGAACCTGGTGTTTGAATTTCACAGCTTAATTGGAGGTGTCATATCAGTCGACCGCATTTGGTTCCGGTTAAGAATTGGGTAAACACATAGAAACGTAAACACAGTTAATAATATTTTTCTCTCATTTCGCACATTAACGAACTACATTTACTTTGTTAAAATCGTACAATCCTATTCAACCATACTTTGTGACAATTGTCAAAACTTTTGTTTTTTGGTAAAATAAATTATTATTTGCAAAAAAGTGATTTCACCTACGGTATTTCAATCCTCACAAACTCTTCAAGTAAAATGCCGCTTTTTTAAACTTTGTACAGTACCTATAGGGGATAATAATAATAAATGTAAATACTATAGGATAATTTTAGCAAATAACGATTTGATAATGATAATGGCACCCTGGCACTTATTAGGACGAAATGTCTAACATGTGTACAATGTCAAAAGTGTATTGACATTGTAGGTACTGTCCTGGATTTATTTTGCATCGGGTATTGACCTGCTGAGGTTTCGCCAAACATGCTGGTGGCTGCTTCAGGCCGCTGTATGAAACTGTTTGTGAGTTAGGAAAATGCAGAAGAAGTGTACTTTTTATTCTACATCCTGTGGATGTTTTCTTCAAGATTAAATTTATTGATAGTTTAAATAGTTCACTTGTATATGCCATATTACAAGATTTCTAGTTTCAAAGTCTTACGGGCGAGGATGCTACGATCATATGCTCGGACTGCTGGCCGCGCATGGAAATTTTTAATAGATTCAAAACTAATATTTTTTCTGGGAAAAAATAATTATTTTAAACAGTCTGCGGTACAACAAAGTAAGTGAAAAAAAAAAGTTTTTGTTAGTGCATCCCTAAATATATAGATTATTTTGAAGGAAAGTATTATAGGGTCTGTGTTCGCAATAATATCATAATCAAAATATACGACATAGCCTTGCTTTGACTTTAGAGAATGTTAAAAATTAAATATTGTACAGCTTCTCATATTTGGCCTTACGGCCTTATTAACTTCTGTTGAGTGTGTCACTTCATTGCGAATCATTTAAATCACGCTTCTGAAGATAAACTTTATCTATACCAAATTTTATAAATTATTGTTATGTAGTAAATAGTAAAATGCAGTAATTAAAGTTTTGGGTGGTCTTGAACATACACTAACTAGAAACACAATATTAAGCAGCGTATAGCAAGTACTCGGAACCTATCAAAACGAAGTTTAACAGTTCTAAACAGATTTTTTTTGATGATTTCAAATTTTCCATAATTGCTCCTCTTTCTGAGCTAAAACAAAATACAACAAATAGGCATTCCATCATGTTGACCCACCCGACAATTTGCGTAGCGGACATTTTGGTATAATTTTCGAATCAGTGATCGCATTTCAAATTCATCAAAACGAAAGAGCAATCCGCAATCAAGGCGAAAACAAATTTTAATCGGAAAAAAGACGTTTGGTTCATTGCTTCCGGAATTTACTAAATTCTAACGCAATATAAGTAAGCGTTTGCGGTCTTAAAATCGGTTACTTTTTCCACTCAAAGATAAAACGCGTACCGTTAGTGGCGTTAAGACTAATTAACAGCTCCACCTTAATTAACAGATTTTAAAATCTTTTTGTATTAGCGGCGGCCACTCTCAAACGTTTTTAAATGGAGAAAATTGCGTATATAAATACATTTTAACTTTGTTCTATTTGAAATTAAGCGGCCGAGCTAGCACGTTTGTGTAGAGTGTTAAATCCTCACAAATTATCGGGGAGTTGTTTAAGTAGATGGTCAACCGACTCTTAGTTAAAGAACATTGTCGTTCGGGCTGTAACGTCAATCCTTTGTGGATGGGTTTCGTCAAATCTGTCCCATAATTAACTAGACATATAATAGCGTCTGAAAATTGATATCTCTGTAGAATAGTTCGGCGAAAATTGCGGTATCCAATCGGCACGCTCTTGGGACATGTCAGTTTAAAATACTTAAAAAAGTTTATATTGATATCTGTCAACAAATGTGTAGTTTTAGAGTTAGACTGTTAAGCAAAGATAACACACTGTATACAGAGTGTTACAAACTCGACTCGCACCATAGGGATCTCGGAAATGGTATAACAGTTTATTTTTATATTTATACAGAATCTACATGTCATTTTCATTTGGATTTATTGAACTTCATCTTTTATCAAAGTCGAGAGTCTTAAATCATCATAAACTTCAATTTTTTTTCAATTTTGCAGTTTTGAACAGCCTCTTTTATTGTCTTTTTAATAAAGTATTACAAGTTACCCTTGTAATTCCAAAAATACGAAAAAATAAAGAAAGTATCTTTTAAACTATCACATGTAATTTGACAGCTTGGTAATCACTCAGTGGACACGACCTAAACTGGAATTGTAATAACTGATAGAAAAGTAAGGAAAATTTTATATATATCTATATATAACAATCTAACTTCTTAAAAAATACAAATACTTATTGAATAGTCAATATATCCAACGATTTAAGGAAATATTGATTAGAAAAAAGCAGTATGTACAGTTTAAGAATATTATTTTTTTACTCCCTTCTGTAAAATACCTAAGTATACATTGATCTACCTTGCGTAAAGTGTCATTTTATCACGTCAGTTCCATTCCTCACGGATCCGAGCCGCTTCGAACATTTCCGTAATATTACCACACGGGTTTGGAAGCAATCGGATGTTTGTCAATTCTGTTGTGTTGTTTTGCGAAAATGTACCCAAAAACTAACGGTAGTAGAAATAGTATATTATGCAACAAGTGCGGTAAACGGCATTTGACTCACGAGTTTATTTGACACGAGCGTAGCGAGTGTTTATTAAACGAGTGAGTTAAAAAGTTTACCGAACCTGTTGCATAATATACTTTTTCTACGACCGTTAGATTTTGCGTACTTTTCCGCAAAACACGAATACATTCACTGACATGACTGTCACAATTGAAAAACGTCAAAATTCAAAGCGTGGGAAATATCTCCGAAAACATCCGATTGCTCCCAAACCCGTGCGGTAAAATCCCGGAAATGTCCGAAGTGGCTCGGATTCGTGGGAAACGGATCTGACGTGATAAACTGACGCTTTCCGCATGTTAGATCGGTGCGTAATTAGGTATTTTACAGACGGGAGTAGAAAAAAGTATAGTATGCGACACGTTCGGTAAACTTTCGTTTATTAAACACTCGCTCCGTTCATGCCAAATAGACCGTTTCACCAGACTTCTTCCGTAATATACTATTGTATTAAATTTGTCTAACAATTATTTAAATTTAACCAATGTTTATTATATCTTGAAAAAGAGAAAAATTTTGAATTTTCTTTTTACATTTTTATGACTAACTAAATCAACAGGAAAGGAATACCAACATGTAATGATTTATCTATTATTTGTAAATAATAAGCACAAGTATACGGTATTCGGTAACATGTTACAGATTAATAATTTTCTATATCACATTTAAATTTTTTTATTTATGTAACCAGATTTTATTTGTGGAATAATTCGATAAAATTATTATTTATTTATAAAATCAAAAACAACAATAAAAGAAACTTTATTTTGCCTGTTATATACACGTGAAACTGCTTTTCAGCAAAAGCCGATCTCCGATGGTTATTTAGTATATTAGCAATCTTTATTAAGGAAGATAGCATTATTTACGTATATTTGGCATGTAAATACCAAATAATTCATTGTTTTAATATTGTTGGAGTCCTTCCTATGCTGTTTCCATCTGTGGAGTTCGTGTGTAATGGAAAAAGTAAATTCTTTTATTTCTGTATTCTAAAATAAAACATATTTTGAACGAAAATATATTTTTTAAGCCAAAACTATTTTTTTTAAATAAAACTAGGTAGTTGTTAAAGAGATTTCCCACCTACCACTTTGATGACATCTAGAGTTGCCCTGTAATTTTGCTTTGTAACATTGGCAGCTGTTGTTTCTACGTCGAATTTTAGAAGGTTGACATTGACATTTAAATAAGTAAATTCCTAGACTCTTCTTAAAATAAAGCATAACAGACAAGAACTTACAGTTTTGGAAAATATCTCTTAAATAACACCAACATGAAACTTTTTAGTAGGTATTCTACGTAGACAAGACCATCTGTCGAAAATATTAAAACTGTATCGCAACCATTTAGTTCAAAGTGGGATAAACCACTAAAATGATTTTACAAAGTACCCCTAAAATAACGCGAACTAGTAGAAAATTTGAGAAATAATTAGTACTAATCAGTACTAACTCTTATCGATAAGAAAATCATCCTCATATCCACCAGTCTCGCTCTAAATATAATTTGTCACTACTCTGCTATGCTAAGCTGTCCAGACGATTGACTGATTTTGAAATTTGTTTCAACTTTATTTTTATTATTTGTTATTATTACTCGGGTCGTATGTTAATTAGTCTTTTGTTCTGTCTTTTAGGGCTGCTTCAGATAAAAAGAAGCACGTCAAAAGACCGATGAACGCTTTCATGGTGTGGGCCCAGGCTGCTCGACGAAAGTTAGCCGACCAATACCCACAGCTCCACAACGCGGAATTGTCGAAAACTCTCGGGAAATTGTGGAGGTAATAGCAGCGTAGAAGCTAGATAAAAAATCCTTCGCCAGGACGGGAAACCTAAGAATACAGCTTTAGCTCATATTTTTTATTCGTCAAGGGGTTGAAAACAGAACAGAGCGACGATATAATTGCAATCTTAAAATAGAACCCCTTCATTCTTTGCTTGCCCGTATCACAGAAATTACTAAACAATTTCCTGTTTGTTTAAAATTATTGGTCTTATATCCGTCATTTGAGTCTCTTTTCTTTATCCGTGCCGATAAGGAATATAATAAATACGAAATAAACTTAATCTTATTTGTTTAACGCTTGTTGCTGATCGGCTTTTTAATATTTACTCACGTGGAACCAACTGTTGTTCACCAAACACGAGGGACGAACGAGTTCCTAAAAATTTGGGATATTATCAGAAGCGGCAGCTTTCGGTTTTATTTCCGCTTTTTAGGGATTTCGTTTCGGATTTGACATACCGGCGTCTCGCATATTTTGTGTCATCATTTGGTTGAATAGTATGTAGAAAGTTAGGGTCGAAGTGTATTCGTTATTAGCTGCGTCGGTTTTTGTTGAGTCGCTATTGGCGAAACGTCAGAAAATTCGACTCAACAAAAACCGACGCAGGAGGAATCCAGAAGTTTTGTAAAAAGTATTACGGTGGCCTGTGGAAGTTACTTTCAAAAATTAATTCGTTATCTACTAAACAATTGAAAATGTCGGAACTTGTTTGGATTCACTTATACTTTGTATATAATATTGTAATATTGATGTTGGGTCAAAAGTTATTCCTTTAAACGAGACTTTGACGTCATGCTGTACATTTACATTTTGTTTGTATTTTTAATTATATTTCGCTGCAAAAAAGTAAAACAAACTCAGTGTCTCTGAAAATATTATAGTTGAAATCGGTAGACATTTTTGGCTAGAACAGGAGGTTAAAAATCTTTTTATAAAATTTAAAAGAGTTTAAACTATTTGATGGTATTTTGCACCCACTGACAGAGAAAATAAAATAATTATCGTTATTAATATTTTGTCATGTTCTAGCGGTAGGTGTAGGATATATAAATGAAATGAAATATGTCTAGAAAATTCCGAGTAATTCAAGAATGCCTCAATATACAGCGTGTTCCATTTAAAATAAGAAAGTTGTTACTTGTACAGAAAAGTACAAACATCCTATGCATAAAACTATATAATACTTTAAAGTCATCAATGAACCCAAACAAATGTAACCTTTTTTGATCATTTTGATACTTTTTACTCCAGAAAATTACAATTTTATAATTTAAATTAAAGAAAAAATCTCTGGTGTGTCATTCAAAACTTGAAAAATTGTGATTTCAAAAGAAACCCAGGTTAAGAAAAATATTGTTGTCTTTGCTTTTGCACACAGTCTTTCTAAAAATTTGTTGTACAATATACATCATACATCATATATATCATTCCTTTAAAAAATCTTCCCGAGTCCTGGATTGTTGAAATGTCCCTGTATCTTCAATGCGAAGCAGATGGCGATTTGATTATGGCGTATTGTACGTTTATTATTCACCATAAAGGGTACAAGCAAAGCTCCTAAATCCCGATAAGATAAAAGTTATTTTTTCTTTTTCCGTAGGAAACACCTTTTCCTATGACAAAGAAAAGCAATAGTAAGCAATACTACGTCGATATATTGTTCAGTTTTCACTAAATTCTGCAACCATCATCGAAAATTCTCCGGGAAAAAAATTCTCGCTTATCTTTTTCAAGCTGCTTTTTTGTCCAGGAAATATCAAATCGTAATTAGCTTGGCTCCTTCAAATAAATTTTTTCTACTCCCGTCTGTAAAATACTTAATTACACACCGATCTAGCGTGCGGAAAGCGTCACTTCACCACGTCAGTTTCGTTTCCCACGAATCCGAGCCACTTCGGACATTTCCGGGATTTTACCGCACGGGATTGGGAGCAATCAGATGTTTAAATTTTGACGTTTGTCAATTCTGACGGTCATGTCAGGGAATGTATTCGTATTGTTTTACCAAAATATACCCAAAAACTAAAGGTCGTAGCAAAAGTATAGTATGCAACACGTTCGGTAAACTTTTTCAGTCACTCGTATATTAAACACTCTCTCCGAAGCGCTCCGCTTGTTGCATAATATACAATTATACTCAGTTCCAATTTAAAACAACACTTTAATCCGAAATAAAAATGGGATTTTTAAAATTTTATGTACTTTTTGTTGTTTTGAGAAACCTGAACCTTTTCACTGTGGCGTCAAAAAAAAACACTGGGATAAAAGCTATGACCATTTGAAACCATCAGCAGCCAGTTCTCACATTCGCGTTGCGCTTACCAAAAAACCCACGGTTACCGAATTTTAAAGTCATATGTTAAAAAATGTATGTACATGAAACTGAAAAAAAAGATTTTTCTCTTGAACTTGTACTCTGGGAAACAAAGCAATTTCATAATAAGGTAAGTTACTTTTAGTAGACTTATTTTGACGTCATTATGTGAAGAGAATATTCAACCACGTTACCTGCAATTAGATTGTAAAATAAGTTTAATAAAACAAAAATCGGCTAAAAAACGTATTTATAGGTATGCGGGCAATTAGGACTGCCAAAAGTAATTAATAATGCTGTAAACCGTTATGGCTGCTGCAATATTTAATGGCCTTTAGGAAACGTCTTTGCCAAGCCAAGAACTATATTATTTATAACCGGCAAAAAGCAAGTGTACGGAGCAAGAAAATGTAAATATTGTCGGAAAACTTATACGATGGTGCCTTGACGATTTTCATGAAACGTAGATTGTATCTTACACTTTGTAAGTTTTAAAGGCGTTCGTTTCGACGTCGTTAATCCGAAAGTGTTTTGTATGTTATATCAGCGATTCAAGGCTTTAAAAAATCCATTTAATTTTAGATTTATTAAGAAATAATAATGCAGATAAAAGGTCACTACGGGGTTATACAGATGCGCCCTTATCAAGGTCATTGATCGCGATGGAACAGAATCTACAACGCTGCCAATATTAACTGCATATCGATTTGATATAACGAGTACTGCGAAACTGGTGACAACATTTACTGGATGTAGAATGTATTCTACTTAGAATTCTGTATTCTAGATATGCGAAGCATCATCTCTCGTAAACTGGTTTTGCTGGTATATTTCTTTTTCGTTTCTAAGCCTGCAAGTGCTTGAAATGTCTATAAGTAATTCTACTCGTGTGCCGTTTTGAAATTGATGTCCAAAATGAATTTTACATAACATAAGAGAAGATGAAAGTTGCATGTCTTATTTAAATTGTTCGCACTCAACTTAGCTAGCAATTTTTATTTATGTACTAACCAATTCCTCTTTAGTACTAAAAAAAAGTAGAAGCACCCAAACAACATAGGTTAAACGTTATATTAAGTTTTACTTGACCTTAAGTCAAGTACATTTTTTAATCGTGATTCAATGTCTGATGATTAGAAAATCTTTCTGAATGCCAAATTTTAATTTTAAATGTTATAATTTCAACCTCGATATAAAGGCAAGTATTTACTGCATAGTTCTGCAGCTAACCACAAAAATGATAATCCCCAACAACTCGGGACGGAACACTGTTTTAAATTCCCCCGTATAACATCGTGTTGACTGGACAATTTATTAGTTTGGAACATTGGCAAATTTTCAAAGTAGGTTACATGTATTTATCTCGGCCTCTTATCTCGGATCACCGGACTTGCAGACTGCTGAATATAATTAATGAAGGAAAAAAATTAACGTGCATTTCGCATCGATAAGAGGGAACGTATAATTATGTCCTAATGCGCTCCAGATCTCAATTTTTAATTTGATTACGAATACCCATTCCGAGAAGCGCGCATCTAGCAGACAACGTAAACATGTGGCGCGGATAAACATTTGAAATGACATTTTTCTCGTATACATATATGATACAAAGAGTTTTTAAAAAATCTTTATTCTATCGCCAAAAATACCCCTTTTGCAGCAAATTTTATGGCAAAATTAAAGATTTAAATTAATTTAAAAACGACCAAGTGCTTATGAAAATTTTGGATCGAGGTGGATATTAACCGATCCGGCTGAAATTTGGCACGAAGATAGGGGGTCGCGAAGATATTAAAAAAAGAAATAGTAGGTTATTTAATTCTAAGTTTCTTAACTCCTCCAGGAGACAAAATATTGGTCAAAAAATGCAAATTTTTCAATAAATTGTCGAAAAGTTATGCAGAATTTTACTCACTTTTCGGAAATCACCTCGAAATCAAATTTTGGGGTAAAAAATCGGCCCGAAAATCGATGATTAATATTGAAAGTTTTATATCTCGCTCATTTATAACTTTGAGAATTTTAAATTTTTATCGTTATATCGTTTGGTCTTTTCTCTATCTGACAATATCAAATAGTCTTATCCAAGTTTTACCGTTTGCTGTCGAGAACTGTTTTTGTGGGACGCAGCAAATTTTTAAATAATGCTTAATTACAATTAAATGGAGCGGGCTGGGGGACTTTATGGTATTGGCGGGAATACATCATTAACCTCCATCTTTCATAAAAATTTCAACCTTCTCGGAGCAACGTAGATATTTTAAAAAATAAAAAATATAAATTATTGAGAAAAATCATGACAATTTTGGATCGAGTTCTATATTAACCGATCCGGCTGAAATTTGGCACGAAGATAGGGGGTCGGGAAGATATTAAAAAAATATAGATGGACATCAATGAGGTCTCTAAGTAAATACTATAATGTCCACCCCAGCCCTATATTTTCGGTTAATATTTTCTATTTATTATTTTCATGTTTATCATGTTTTTCCTCAAAAATTTTAGATTTTTAATTTTTTAAAATATTTACGTTTCTTCGAGAAATTTTTATCGAAGATGGAGGTCTATCGGCAGATACCATAAAGTTCTCCCCAGCCCCTTCTATTTAAATATAATTAATTACTTCTTATAAATTTACAGCCTCACACAAAAACCGTTCCCGACAGCAAACGGTATAACT